GCTAGTGTATGAGTTCAGTCCCTAGGGCTTCATGATCAGTGAGTCACAGCCTGGAGAAGAAAACCCTCCAGCACCGGCTGTGTTCCTGGCCAGCTGACCCTGGCTGGGAGATTCTCCATCTCATCCTCCATGTGCCCCTCCCTCTGTAGAGGTAAATGGAGGCAGGATGAGGCTCGTGAACTCCTCAACCAGGACTCCAGGCAGACCTGGACTCTTGAATCCCTTCACTGGGCCCCAGGCTCTATCAGTTCTCTGCTGAGGAGACAGACACAGGGTCTTCTTCCTCACCCTAGGTTCCCATGAGTTTCTGTCCCAGACACAGTGACAGAGTTAATTAAGGCTATGCCAGAAACCAATGAACGGAAAAATCAACAAAAACAAAACAACGTGTTTGGCTGTCATGTCTAAGCCAATTTCATGTCTGCTAAGTGGGCTAAGACAGGGTTACTACACCCATTTTGCAAATGAAGAAAGTGAGTCATGAAGGAGTTAAGTCACTCACCCAACTTATATGGCCCGTGCGGGAACCAGTGTGGACTATCATGTTCTCAACTTAACAAGCAAGCCATATGCTGGAAATGTAAGCTGGGTTGGCAGAGTTCTCACCTGATGTATGAAGCACTGGGGTCAGTCCTCAGCACCGAATAAAGCTGTCATGGGGTACACACCTGTCACCCCAGCACTGGGAACTAGTCAGGAGGTCAGCGGTTCAAGGCCATCCTCAGCTACATTGCAAGCTTGACGCCAGCCTGGATGATGTCCTATCCATTTTGTTTTGTTTTGTTTTGTTTTGTTTTAAGGAAATCCTGTCAGGTCAGTCCTCTGCTCAGAGCCTTACCCTGGCTCCATACTTCTCCCAGAATAAATGCCAAGCTAGGCAGTGCCTCATGCCTGCATCTGGATGCCAGCATCTGGATGCTGAGGCAGGAAGCTCAACCCAGAGTTCAATGTCAACGATGGCTCTATAGTGAGTTCCAGGTCAGTCTAGACTACAGAGTGAGACCCTGTTTCAAAGAAAGATGATGTCCACCAAAAAGGAAAACTGTCCTGGTCTTCACACTGCTCACACCTACACAGTCTGTGCCCCCATCGGCCCTCTGACTCACATTCATTTTCTCTGTGTGCCTGTCTGTGGCAGCATCCCTTTGCCCCTCTGACTCAGCCCCATATCCTGGCCCCAGGACCTTTGCACATACTGTTCAGGTGCCCCCCCCCCCAGCCAACTCCACCTTCCCCAAAAGGTGCTACTTTCTCAGGGAGTTTTCCTCAGACCCCTCCTCTGCCTTCCAGCTAGAACACCAGCTACGGACATTTCTATTTTAGACATGTAGGGGCCCTTTGTCTCCCCTCCTGGAATGCAAGCCCCTGGAGGGCAAGGATGGCCCAGGTAGTTTGCTGCTGTCCCGAGCTCCTCCATCACATTCATTCCTGCTGCTGTCCCCATAGCATGTGTTCTGTGAGGAGTGCCTCTGCCTGTGGCTGGACCGGGAGCGCACCTGCCCACTCTGCCGGTCTGTTGCTGTGGATACCCTGCGCTGCTGGAAGGATGGGGCCACGTCTGCACACCTGCAGGTGTACTAAACTGAGCACAAGTGTCTGGAGACACCAGAGGGCCCGGCACTGCTGAGCCCAGCCCTGAGGATTCCTGGGAAACAACCTCCAGTGCTTTCTCCTGCCTTCCTCCAACTCTACCTGATGGCCCCAGAGTCTCCCCACCAACACATTCCTCATCACCCTGGTAAAGTTTGTGCATCCTGCCCAGCCAGGCTCAGCGGCTCCCCTGCTGGTAGGTGGTCCATCCCTTCAAAGTGGAGGAGTTGTCCTTACACAACCTCCCCTTATTTAACCTGCTTCCAGCTGCCGGTACTCGATGCTGCAGATTGGTGTGAGCTGAAAGAGGACAGCCTCTCAGCACGTGACCCAGGTCTGCAAATGAGAGCCCCTGGGGAGAAAGTTCACCATGTCAGCACCAGGCTTCACCGCCCACATGAGGGTACAGGTGAGAAGCTAGGTGTGGTCACCCAGCTAACACAGGCCCATGAGTGTCCCGCCTGATGCTGTTGCTGCAAGTACAGAGCCAGCAGAGCTAGCTTGTCAGAAGAACGGAGGCTTCCTCTAGTCCCTCGGTGGATGGGAATCAGTGGCCTGGTCATACAGCATGGCAGAGGCAGTCTTGCTAAGTGCACAGGCTGTGAGAGACTTGACCTTCCTGATTGATTCCTTTGTCCCGTGGCTCTGCCGGGGACAGTCCGTCTCAGAGGGCTCCAGAAGTGGGCCTCCGCCATTTCTCCTACCCTCATTCCCTCCTGTGCACTCCGCCACTGACAGCTCAGGCCTGTGCAGAGCTCCAGTGGGCATGGCCGCCTCTCCCCTCTCCAGGGAGCCTTGGGAGCTAACAGTTCAATCCATGTTCTAGATGGCACACAGCTCAGGAGCAATCCATCCAGTTCCCCCTCCCTCTCTCTAGTGAGGCAATTAGTTCAAAGAAACAACAGTCCTTCCGAGTCTCTGAAAAGACTGCTTTATATCTTTAACCAAATGCCCAGAGAGGGAGGGGCCGCAGGGAACCCTGGGAGCAGGAACACAGCCGCACTTCACATTGGAGTCTCCAGGACACAGCTGCTGCTCCCGTTGGGAAACTCTCTGCTTGGAAACCTGGGTTGAGATAGCACAGGTGACCACACAGAAGCCACTGGAAGCCTGAGTGTCTTCCCCTCTCCCAACTCTGTTCTCTTATTGTGGAAATCCGCACCACAGGCTGGCTCCAGCCACGTTTGAGAAAACCGTGCATGGCTAGTGGACAGATTAGCATACGTGCCCTGGGGGAGATGGGGCCGTGGCTGCCTTCTCCCTCCCCCTACTAGATTTAGGACACATGCCCCTGGGCACCCATTCTTGCCTGAACTTCCTCTGCTTGGTCTCCTCAGCTCATTCCTGATACCAGCAAGACACCCTTTCCAGGGGGCCATGGCATCCATCCTTCAAACTCTGTTACTATGGCAATGGCTGTGATGTTAAATATCTCACTGTCTGGATGTTCTAAGAGGAAAGGGAGGATGGGTCCCTCTGTTCTCTCTGGCCTGAGGAAGTACCTAGGGAGAGCAGCAGGTTTGTATCTACAAACCTACAACTGGTTTGTATCAGAGAGATGGCTTTGTCTGTCAGCATTGAGGAGGGTTTGGAGCTGGGGAGACAGAAGTGTAGCATGGGGTGGAGCAAAAGTAGCCATTGGCAGTCGTCTGGGAAACCTGACTCCAAGCTCTGCATGATTCTGTGATGTCCCTGTACATTGTGGCCATCTGTGGGGCTTCAAAACCTACTATGATACTGGGAGGGACCGAGAAATCCAACAGGTCTGCAGGTGTAGCTCCGCGGGTAGAGCTCTCGCCTAGCATGCAGGAAGCCCTGAGTTCCATGCCCACACCACATAAACTGGGCATGGCTGTGCACACCTGTAATGCTTGCACTGGGAGGTAGAGGCAGGCGGATCAGAAGTTCAGGGTCATTGCTTGGCTACAAAGCAAGTTCCAGGATGCCTGGGCTACCTGAGACTCCATTTTAAAGAGAGACAAAGGTAAACTAAGAGTGTGGGTTACTGGTGAATGCTCCAGTGCCCCCCTTCCAATGCTTTTCTGACATTGTGTAAACGTAAACCGTGTGTCTGCCAGGTAAAGACTGCACAGGTGGGACATTCCCTAGAGGCAGCGGCGTGGCGTAGTCTAGGACCTTATTTGTTCATTTCTCACCCTTTGGGGGGCACCACACAGGGGTTTTCTTCCAGGTTAGATGACTCTGCTTCTGTCTAGCTAAGGCAGAGTTTCCCACACAGGGAACGGTGGAAAAGTGTCCCCTGGAGAGCCCTGTCACAGCCTTCATCTGCAGTGGCATGGGAGCCAGTGGATCATCAGGTTCTGTAACTGGCTCTGTATTTCATGGGTCACAGACACACATCTCATTGAGTCCTTGGAGTCTTGTTTGTGCACAAGAGCCTGAGGATAGTAAGACAGGCGGGGAGGGCTGCAGAGAGGGCAAAGCCCTTATGAGTGCTTGCCACTCTCCCAAGGCCCAAGTGCAGTTCCCAGCACTCACGGCAAGGGGGTTGGAAGCTCTCTTCTGACCGACCTCCATAAGCACCTACACACATATGGCCTGTACATATGTGTGGTGGGGGGGGGCACGTGCACACACATAATTAAAAACAAAATAAGTCTTCAAGAAGTGTGTGGGGTGGGCAGTGGTGGCCTTTTAGCCCACCCAGCACTGGAGAGGCAGAGGCAGAGGCAGGCAGATTTCCGTGAATTCCAGGCCAGCCTGGTCTACAAAGCTACACGGAGAAACCCTGTCTTGAAAAACAAACAAACAAACAAAAACAAAAAGTGTATGGGAAGAAGAAAGGCCTGCTTTGGACCTGAGCTCAACAGAGCCAGCATTTTCCAAAGGGAATGACACAGACATGGAGCCTTGGGAAGGCCCCAGTGCTGAGGAGGAAATGGGCAGTACCCTGGGGTCTGTGGAGCTTTCTTTGGGGGCATGTGGCTGTCTTTGGTGTCTTTGAGACCCTTCTGCCAATAAACCTCCCCTGTGGATACAATTTGTACTCGTGGGTCAGTCGGCCTCCTGAAGCCAGGCATGCAGTGCCCATGGAGATACCGCGGACACTTCTCCCTCCAGAAGCCAAGAAAGAAAATAGAGAAAGTGGGTTAGCTGCTCAGGGGCCTCCGAAGGTGGAGTGCTTGCCACACAAGCATGAGGACCTGAGTTTGGATCCCTAGAACCCATGCACACATGGAAAGTCTCAGGGTCAACCATCCTAGCTCCGAATTCAGAGATGCAGCCTCCAAAAATGAAGTGGAGAGAGACGGATGAAGATGCTGAGTATTGACTTCTGCCCTCCATATGCAAGCACACACAGCGCACACACCAAACTGGAGGATGAGTGGCAAGCTGAGGGATGCCTGTGCAGGTCAGCAATTCTCTGTCACTGTCCAGCCATGGTCATCTCATGGTCCCTGCGGACCCATCTTCCCAGAGGAAATGAACACGAAAAGGCCTTCATTAGAGCTACACAGTCGATTTTTTAATAAAAGTGTAACAAATATGTACAAAGCGTCCAGGTAGGAAATTCCCCTTACAAAAGAGCACAAGGCAACAATATCAGGAACCAGGCAGAATGTCCCCCAAGTTACTGCCTCTCCCCCAGGCTCCAATGCCCTCACAACAGCCGCTGCCACTGTATGTGGGCTCCTTGACTTTTGTAGTGCAAAGACCTTGGGGAATCTGGGGTTCAGGGGAGAAGATAGATATTAGAGAGGTAAGAAAAACTTCCCACAGCCTAGGAAGTGAGTGGGACAGGCCATTTGCACATTAGGCACCGCCTTATCCTGGAGTTTACTGAAACTGGGTCAGCCCCCAGAAATCATTCAGCATGCTAGCAAGTGTCCCTAAATAGGGCCCTCTTTTCTTTGAGTTAATGTAGACACCCCTGCTGGCCCACAGGAGTGTCCCTGCCCTGGGACTAGCAATGTCTGCGCTTGAGCTAGAAAACAATGTTTGCTTTCAAACGAGCAACACCAGAACCCCGTGATCTAATAGAGCAGGATCCTCACTGGCTTGAGGGGTCACACAGACTCACATGCAAATCTTGGCTCAGCCACTTTGCCATGCGGGTGCCTTGGGCTTCCTCACCTGTAAAATGGGATCATTGGTACTATTCACTAGGGTGGGAATCTCTCAGGCAAAAGCGCCTCATGCAGGGCTCCATGGTGGACAGTACTCACTCTGCGAGGGGATCTTTGATTATTGTACAAAGGGGCCAGTCTTCCCGCTGAGGAGCAACATAGCAAGCTTTTTAATTGCATTCAGCCCAGAGCGTGGCATGCAAAAAAGAAGAAAAAAAAAAAAAAAAAAAACCTATATAGCAATCTGCCAGCAAGGCGTGTGGGGTCACAATGGTGACCTGGCAGATCTGTTATAAATTATGAGCCAGACTGAAAAGGGACATTTCATGGCATCTGGTCTCCAAAAGGACTGTTGCTGTGGCATATCTAAGTCAGTTTGTTCCGAGGTGGAGGTCTCCCCCTGGCACACTGTAGATGCTCAATAAATAGGGGTTGAGTGAATCAATGAAAATGTTTAAAAAGTTAAACTTTTGGCTAACGCTTTCAGAAGACACTGTATACCCACTTTATGGGACTCCTGGTCAGCTCGTGTGGGACTAGTCTGCTTCCCGCCCCACAATGCTTAACCAACTTCTGACCCTCTGTCTCCCCCAGTTTTGACTTCAGGCTCAGAAAAGAAAACAGTATAAACACAGAAGAGAGCCTGTAATCAGGAAGTAGAGGCAAGAGGGTCGGGAGTTTAGGGTAATCCTCTGCTGAATCATGAGTTCAAGACCAACCTGGGCTCCATGTCTCAAAAACCACTAACAACCAACACGAATAGTCCACAGTAGTGACCCAGTGTCTCCCGAAGACACTCATGCACAGTGTGCCAGGGTATGCTCCCTCCCTTAGGTCTCTGTGAGGAAGAACGACACTTGGTCGACTTCGGAAACATGACAATAGCTGCACACCAGACATGAGCTCAGCTATCTGAAGTGTCACTGGGACATCCACTGCCTCCTTATCCTAAGTCACCATCCCCCGTCATGGTAGGGAGGAGACAGAACAAGGCCATCCACGGAAGTGAGGGAGAAGATTGACTGTGAGGCAGGGAGAGTTGGGACAGGAAGAGGGACAGGAAGTGTCCAGGGGTGTGTACTGGGCGGCCCAGAACACTGTCCTCACTGGGCTCTCCAAAACAATTCTGGCTCAGACTCCATCCAGACAAAGGGACATGGAACCCCAAACTTGAACAGAGCTCTTGCTTGTTGAAGAAGAGGTAGAGGAGAGAAGCTTCCAGAAGGGAGTGGACCTACTTGGGAAGGCTTCAGTCCCACAGACTCCAGGACCCTCGCCCTCAGAGAGCAGGCAGCAGCTTTTGGATCCAGGTGGCAGGTAGCTCATCACACAGCCAGCTCCCTAACAATGCTCTCAGAGGCCGCCTAGCCTAGGCTTTGCACGGACACACATACACACACACACACACACACACACACACACACACACACACGCTGCTGTCTGCTGAAACCCAGTATGAGGTCTTTTTAAAAATTCATTTCAAAGCCTCTCTCCCTCTTTACAGATTCTACAGAGAAGCAAAATCAGAGCTCCTTGGCAGCTGGGGTGGGGGGGGGGAGCAGGGGGATAAGAGGGAGGGATGGAGCCAGCACTTCACACACTGTGGAAGTTGAGTTTGTTGTTGCTATTTTTTTTTAAAATCTTTTTTGCAATAACACCATCCACAGAAAAGCCCATCCCACTATCTCATGCAGTCCAAGTAACACCACATCAGAGACAGTGGAGACAATAGAGACACAGCTAGCATGCTTCAATACCCTACTACAAACATCCATCAAGAAGTCAAATCTCATATAAAAACAGCATTTAAAAACAACCCCATCAAATTCGGGGCAATGGAAAAGAAATGCACTCAAATGAATAGTGGCAGCGGCGTGCGAGCCAAGCCACCCACCCCGCCCCACCCCTGCGGTCCATAAATATGTGGTTTCCATTACTGTGGGAGAATATTTACAGAGGACTTGGCTGAAAAGTTCCATTGGGAGGTCATGGGTGCCCGGGTTCTCTCAGCAACACAGCTTCATTGAAATGAAAATCACCAGAGATGCCAACCCCTGTGTTTGGAGTTCGAATCCTCCAGGGAGATATCATAAGCTAACAGACAACATCAGGCTCAAAAACAAAACACAAAAGGGAGGTATTCTCTGACCTCCCGCCCTTGCCTCTTGCGCTGGGTCTCTCCAGGGTCAGCATGTTCTTGCTGTGATCTTGACAATATCTCTTTAAAGGGGCTGATATCTGTGATTCCCGCCTTAGCAAGCACCTTCCCTGGAAATACATGCTTTGCAAAGACTCTGTTCCTTGCTGGGAAAGGAACTAAATACAAACAGAGTGTGTTTTCCAGATTATTCTGGAACCCTCTGTGTAATCCCGGCTTGGTGAGGGTACGGCTTGCTGCCAGATGCCTCCATGCCAAGAAAACTTTGTTTTTTATTTTTTTTTTATTTTTCCTTTGCTGAGTTCAGTTCTGGCAGGTAAAGGTGGGGAGCCTTCAGCATTAAGTTCTCAGTTGCATTTTTCTTTAATGGGTTATTTAGAGAAATATAAGGCATGGATTCAGTATGGAGAAGGAAAAAAGACAACAGTGAAAGGAACCAGTTGTCAGCAAACTGGAAGGGTCTGCACTGTAGGACCTGGTCATGCTCAGCATAATTGGTTAGCCGGGACCATTTCCCTTGGAGGCCCGTGCACCCTAATAACTGATGCTTCCTAGCAGACCCTCTCCCTGACCCCCAGGCACCAAACAAGTGACCTACAAATCCAGTCAGGAGAAAATGACTGTCCCCTGGCAGGCAGTGTCCCAAATGCTGGATGCCAAGGCAAGGAGGCTCATGAGCAGAGGTCAGCTTGCTCTCCAGGGCCACACCTTGTCTCCAGAATTAAAAAGGGGGAAATTAAAAAATAAGAGTAACTGTCTCACTGAGCCCACAGCACGCTCCCTTACCATCTCAGCCACAAAGACCACAATGGAGGCAAGAAAGTATCCATGCAGAGGAATAATACCTGTTTCTGTTGGGATATCTTTTTAAAAAATAAAAGCAAAAATTAGTCGTCACTCCTGAAGCAGTGAGCCTTGGCAGCCAGATACCATCAGGCGCACAGCTTCATTTTTATATTTATTTATATATATATATATATAGGTATATATATATGTATTTATATTAGCCCTTCTAGAAACTTCTGAAAACAGTAGCTTATCCTATATGTGTTTGGGGAGCAGAAACCGGACATTTCATTTAGAAGGTCCGCCCCCTCCCCTAACATCCCCTGCTTATAAGTCACGCTCCATCTGAACGCAGCCATCTCTTGGCTCTTTAATCTAGAAAACTTAAGCCCTGAATCCCCCTCCGGAAGTGGGGGAGGCCACAGCAGTCGCCCTAGGTACTGCTGCAGGGAGAGGAGGAAGCACCAATCTCTGCAGCTTCTGCTGTATCCTGGCTTGCCCTTCCCCCTCCCAACCCCTCCCCCCAGAGGGTGCTCATAAGCCCCAGCGAGCATTCCCCCTCCCCCACAGAGAGACTCTCCAGTGGCACTTCTGTCACTTGGCCCTTTAAAAAAAGAAAGAGTATATCCAAAGAGCAAAATAGAAACCTGCCATCCTCTGGCCTTCCGGGTCGGTCAGTAAAACTCTGGCTACACCAAGGACACACTTAGCACCAAGAAAATTTGAAGCAGAGCACCAGACACACCAGATAGGTAGAAGAAAATGACATCCCTTTCTCTGACTGCAACCTGCAACCGTGAGATCTAGAGAGCTGTCTAGACAGGGACACAGAGAGAGGCTAGGATGTGTCAAGAAATGGAGGGACCCCAGGCTGCCCCCAACAAAACGGCCCCACATCCCCTCTGTCTTTGTCCATTTGGCCTTTGGCACGGCTCCCGTTACTCCATGCCAGCATCTGTGCTGGGCAGTTGGTCCATGCCGAGGCTGATCCCACCAGTCCGTGTAAGTTTCCAGCACACACACAGTGGCAAGCATCCCTCTCCCCTGCTCCCCCAGACATTACAAAGTCTCAAAGTTCACATTGCAAGGTGCAGAAAGGGGAGAGACCATGTCCCTCACAGGCATGCACATAAGGAATTTTGTATTTTCTCGTGTGTGTGTGTATATATATATATATGTATGTATGTATGTATATAGCTATATGTAAATAGCATTGGGGTGGCTATCTCTGCAGCTGGACTTCCCAGGGGCTTCCTCGGTCCATGTTTCCACCATCATCTCTGGGTGGGTCTTTCCACTCTGATTCCTTCCAAGCTCCAGGCTCCCCCCTCAGGAAAACAGGAACCAGCTTCCTCCAAGGACACAGGGTCTTGCCAACCTGTGGAAATAAAGATTTGTTTTTCTGTCAGTACAGTCAGCTTCCGGGGTGATGTCAGTGCAGAAGGGGAGGGGAAGCGAGGGATTTGTAACACAAAGCTCTGATTGGAGAGGAAAGTGCTCTGCAAAGCCAGACCTGGCTCTTCCCACAGTTCCAGAAGCTCTATCCATGTAGCAGTAGCAGCCTTCCTTCCCCAAGTCACACACCATAACGCACACACGTGCATGCACACACACACACACACACACACACACACACACGCTTTCAGACCTGTATATATACTTGGGCATCATCTGTAATTAAAAACAGAATCTGACACAGACTTTTGATCCCAGAGGCAGAAGCAGGCACATCTCTGTGAGTTTAAGGCCAGCCTGGTCTACAGAGTAAGTTCCAGGACAGCCTCCAAAGCTACAGAGAAACTCTATGTAGCCTAGCATTTGAACAATCTCTGGTTCTATCCCAAATACTGCATTAAATCATACATGGCCTTGCATGCCTATAATTCAGGCTCGTGGAGGCAGGAAGATCAAGAGTATGAAGTCACCCTTGGCCATTCCCAGAAATTAGGAAGTTCCCTATGACATAAGACCCTGCCTGGGGGTGAGAAAGTGGGGATTTGAGTTGAATTTTGGCCTTGGAGGTAAGTACTGTTCTCTGTACCAAAATCAAATAAGTTTATTAATAGTGATAGATAAACAACAGGTAGGTGATTGGTAGGTAAATCATTAATAAATGATGGGTGTGGTAGGTAGGTTAGTAAGTAGGTGGTGGGTAAATAGATGGATTAATGAAAATCCAGAGGCTCGGTATCCTTCCTACCCAGGAACAGATTATTCCTCTGCTCTTCTCACACCTCCGTCTTTCCCCATATTCCAGATGTAGTTGTGGACAGTCAGCTTCCTCACTTGCTCACTCATATACACACACCCCAGTGCTGCGAGCCACTGCTGTGCTTCTTTCCCATGGGAAGTTGCAGGGCCACCGGGGGCAAAGGGGAATAAGTTCCTAATACCGCTCTCCTGAAGAGCAGGTGCAGTCTGGGGAGACACAGTCTGCGGCAGCTCATGGGGAGACAGCACACAGGCACCGGGGCTCCTGAGAGAGATCCCTAATGGGAACTGGATCCCAAAGAACTAGCCAGGGTACCGTGAAGCTCTCAAGGCTGGGTATGAGGGGGGAACAGAACTACGTGGCAGAACAGTAATAGTCAAGGCTCCCTCTTGGGCTATAGCCTCCCCCAGGAAAGGGTTCTTAGTCATTCTGACAGAAGGAGACAAGAGTTCCCTCCTGTGGGGCAGGCCTCAAATCACATGGTAAAGAAGTTGGTTGCTGCCCTAGCGGTCATACCACCATTGCATTAGAGGCTAAAATACTGAAAATTAGTGATGGTGGAGTGCTTACCCCCCAGTGGGGATGTGTATATAACAACCCCTCAAGGGCCCAGGAGACATCACCAAAGAGGGGGCGGAGCAGAAAGAATGTTAGGGTTGAGGATGAGAGGTCTTCCGGACATGACATGTCATGGCAAGATTGGGCCCATCGGCATTTCATCATGGATAGTGAAGGGACTGACAAGGCCCCGCCCCTCTCAGAGGGACTACTGAAAATTAACACTTGTGGGGAGATGTCACCATCTGCAGTGGTGTAGCCACAGATAACTTGTCATTGCCCCTCTGAGAAATTCAGTGAACCATGAATGTAAAGAAGACACGGAAATCAAAGGCGAAGGAGAGGGAGGGAAATGAGGGAAGAGAATTGAGGGTGAAAACGGCTAACGCTCATCTGAGTATATGAAATTACCAATAAAAATGTGGGGGAAAACATGTGCACAGACATTCATAATGACACAATTCAAAACCAATGGGTGGAAACATCCAAATGTGCAAAGGTGACACAGGTTATCAGAGGAGGACACAGGAAGAATACAGTCAGTGGTGTTTGAGAGAAAGCCTACAGACCTTTATTTCCTGGTTGGAAAAAAAAAATCCACAATGTTGACTGTATCAGTGGGTATCTGTGGTGTCTGGCTTCCTGTTAAGTGTGGCCAACAGGGGACAGACTAGATATTCACTCTTCTGGGGACAGACTAGAAAACCCCTACCCCAGCCTCACTCTGCCCAGTTGTTGCCAACCTTGGGGCACTACGTCTTTCTACGTCCTGTTCACATCTGTCTTGAACCCTGGCCAACCTCTTCTCTAATGACTCAGGTTGGGGCTAGCCTCATGGACAGGGACTGATGCCCATCTGACTTCATGACGGTGACTCAAACACACGGTCCCCACAGTCCCCATGAGTGAGTCACAAGGACTCAAATTGGTAACTTCAAACTGTAGACTTGCTTAGGCATTGGCAGAAGATCCTCAGCCACCCATCAGCCGATGACCTTTCTCCACAGGGACCTGGCACACCAGGATCCCTACCGCCAGAGCACAGAACTGGGACCACCAGTTGACTGAACTGATACACACACCTGACTCAGTTTATGAAAACTAGCGTTGACAGCTCCTAAAAGGCTCACTTAGTTGGTTCCTGACCACAGGCTATGGGATGGCAATCGGCAGAGCCCACAACAGAAGGTGGGGGTCCTGTGGCACACAAGTAATCCCAGCACTCAGGATAATGGAGCAATTGAGGGAGTATAAGGATTGCTTCCTGAGGACACACTGTGTTCTGTAGTGTGCTGACTCCTGCTCCGTACTTCCTGAGGACACACTGTGTTCTGTAGCATGCTGACTCCTGCTCCGTACTTCCTGGGGACACACTGTGTTCCATAGTGTGCTGACTCCTGCTCCGTACTTCCTGAGGACACACTGTGTTCTGTAGTGTGCTGACTACTGCTCTGTACTTCCTGAGGACACACTGTGTTCTGTAGCATGCTGACTCCTGCTCCGTACTTCCTGGGGACACACTGTGTTCTGTAGCATGCTTACTAATTGCTCCGTACTTCCTGGGGACACACTGTGTTCTGTAGTGTGCTGACTCCTGCGGTGTGCTTCCTGAGTACATCGAGTGATTCATTTTCTTGGTTGATGATTGATGGGGAGGCACTGTGGGCGGTGCCTCCCCTGGGCTGGTGGTCCTAGGTTGTATAAGAAAGCAGGTTGAGCAAGCTAAGATGAACAAGCCAGTAGTGTTACTCCACAGCCTCTGCCTCAGTTCCTGCCTCCAGGTTCCTGTCTTGGCTTCCCTGAGTGATGGACTACAAGGTGTACGATGAAATAAACTCTCCCCTCACCAAGTTGCTTTTGGTTAGTATTTTATCACAGCAACAGAGAAGCAGACTTCAGCAAGCCCTGCTCACCAAGGCAGCTCCCAAGAAGACCCCGGATGTGAGCTGCGATTTAAGACACGAGCATGGTCCTTCCATCTCTAGGAGAGGTCATTAAAATGAACTTTAGCAACTGGCAGACTTGGTCGAATGGGGAGGGAACAGCACGGCCCCAGAAAGCAATAGCGAGTGCATCTGTGTTGGATGTTAGTTGAATACAGCCTGTGAAGGGGAGACAGCCATGGTTTCCGGAGAGAGGGGACTCTGCCTTCACAACCATCATCCCCGGAATCCCCAAAGAGAGCTGATTTGCCTATCCCACGTGTATATCACTGAGCATGGGAGGCATCTAAGGGTTCCCTGGTTTGTCAGTCAGCTTCCCATTGCTGTAACAAAATCCCAGAGGTAATTATCAACAGAAAAGGGTTACTTTGACCGACTTCTTTGAGGTGAGATGTGGGTTATGGCAAAGCTGCTTTCCCTTATGCTGATCAGGAAGCAAAAGAGAGGAAGAACCCAGTCTAGTACCCTCAAGGTCACACCTCCAGGGACTGAAAGACTTTCCGCCAAGCCCCAACACTCACAGGGTCTACCATCTTGACATAGCACAATAGAGTAAAACAAGCCTTTAAATGCTTGGCTTTGGTGGGGATGAATCCAAGCCATGGCCTTAGAGCTGCCTTGAGTACTGGTGAGATCCACAGAGACATGAGCCCTGGAAACAACCGTGTATACCACTGATGAGCCTGTGTCCCTCACACTGCAATCTCCATGTCACCAACCCCCCAGTCAGGGGCTGGCCTGGGTGTGCATTTTTATTTTTATTTTCAGGGTTGCAGGTCTCACCTGTGGAACAAGTCCCACAAACGTGCCCAAGGACCCACTTCCAGCTTGACCCGTAACCACAGCAGCCATTAGAAAGAACTCAACTATCTCCCCAACAGAAGTTGGATTGGCAAAGTAAACTACGCGTGAAAGATAAAAACCCGATGTGGGCGTGGTGGCACACGCCTCTCATCCCAGCACTCAGGAGAAAGAGGCAGGTGGGTCTCTGCGAGTTCCAGGCCAGCTGAATCTTGTCTCAAAAAAAAACAAAACAAAACAAAAACCATAAAACAAAAACAAAAACAAAAAGACAGACAAAAGCTGAACGGTGCTAGAGCTGAGCTAGGGCTCACAAATGGTAAGACCATCCCCAACACCACAAAAAGTAAGCATGCCGAGACAGCAATGGATGTGGTTCTGGGCTGTGGAAGGTTAAGTATTAAGGTCTGTTGTCCTATAGTGAGTGTGTGTGTAGACACACACACACACACTGGCACACCCACCCACACACACACACACACACACACACACGTTCATGCACACACACATATATGCACACATAGTCATTCACCCACCCCACACACATGCATACACAATGTTTTAGAGTCCATAATTTTAGATTAGGGGTGCTCAAATTGTCCAGCTAGGTGATATATGTGTGTAGAATTTGGCAGAAGGACAAGATGATGTAAGTTCTGAGTCTCCCCTGCCCAGAGTGGGATTAAAGTTACTTCTGCCTGGGATGTTTAATGTGCCCTTACCAACACACTGTCTTTCCCTTCTTCCTTCCTGCCTCCCTTCCTGCCTTCCTCCCTCCCTCCCTCCCTTTCTTTTTTAAAGACAGGGATTCTCTGTGTAGCCCTGGCTGTCCTGGAACTCATTCTGTAGAGCAGGCTGGCCTTG